TAGTTAAGAAGCAGTGATCATGAAGACGCTGATACAGGTAGAGCTGGAATCACTGGTTGCACAACATTAGGCGCGCAGTATCACTGTTGTCTTCGGCCAGACACATACTATTTATTCATAAAGGGTGATACGGTCAAAATTTGGTCAAGGGAAAACGCGTGTAAATCGGTGAAATCGTTTATTTAAAAAATCAAATTAAATTTCTTTTTCAAGTTCAATTAGTATAAAATTCAGGAAAAATATTCAGTTAGGCTTCCGCTTTTCCAAATCCGAATTGCCGGGCCTTACGCTTGACCCCTGCCATCAGATTTTGTACAGCCACCTTGTCCACCTTCTTCGCCGCAGAAAGCCAGTTTGCCTTGAACTGCTGCTCGCCCTTAGCAGTTTTTTTTTGGTCTTCTTTAGGTTCCGCTTGACAATAGCCCAGTATTTCTCAATTGGGCGGAGCTCTGGCGTGTTGGGAGGGTTCTTGTCCTTGGGAACCACCTGCACGTTGTTGGCGGCGTACCACTCCATGGCCTTTTTACCGTAATGGCAAGATGCCAAATCCGGCCAAAACAGTACGGAACAACCGTGTTTCTTCAGGAAAGGCAGCAGACGTTTATTCAAACACTCTTTCACGTAAATTTCTTGGTTGACAGTCCCGGAAGCTATGAAAATGCTGCTTTTCAAGCCACAGGTACAGATGGCTTTCCAAACCAGATATTTCTTTGCGAACTTTGACAGTTTCATGTGCTTGAAAACATCTGCTACCTTTCCCCTTCCTTTTGCCGTATAAAACTCCTGTCCCGGAAGCTGCTTGTAGTCGGCTTTGACGTAGGTTTCGTCGTCCATTACCACGCAGTCAAACTTCGTCAGCATAGTCGTGTACAGCCTCCGGGATCGCGCTTTGGCCGTCGTATTTTGTTTATCATCGCGATTTGGAGTCACTACCTTCTTGTAAGTCGATAGTCCGGCTCGTTTTTTGGCTCGATGCACGGTTGTAGACGATACACCCAGCTTATTTGCGGCATCTCGGAGAGAGAGGTTAGGGTTTTGCTTGGCTTGAAACTACCGGCAACTCTCTTTGTCGTCTCAGCGGCTTCCGGTTTTCGATTTCCCCCCCGATCCAGACTTCCTGGCTGTCGACAAACGTTCCCCAAACACTTTAATTACATTTGTAACGGTTGATTTGGCAACTTTTAGCGATTTTGCCAACTTTGCGTGCGAGTAGCTCGGATTTTCGCGATGCGCGAGCAAAATTTTGATACGCTGCTCTTCTTGCTTGGACGGCATTTTGACAACTGAAGAGTGAATTCCAAAATCAAAATAGGAGCAACATTCTACACACACACCTTCAAAATGAGGGGTGTTCAGGTTTTTTAAATGCAAAATTGAAAGAAATACGTCAAGTTGATATTGACCAAATTTTGACCGTATCACCCTTTAGTTACCTGGGAGAGAACAGGGGTGCCACCAGCTAACTAGAAGAGGAAGATGCTGCCAGGACAAGTGAAACTAACGGGCAACTACGGCAGATGAAGAAGCAGTGAAGACATGAAGACGCTGATGCAGTTAGAGCTGAGAGAGAACAGGTGTGCTACCAGCCGACCAGATGAAGAAGCTCCGACGACCGGTGAAACTAACCGGTAACTACGCCGATGGTCATACAGCATCTGATGTAGTTACAGCAGATGAAGGTCAAGAAGATGCTGATGCATTTTTAGCTGGAACCTATTGTTACTCAACGTTAGGCGCGCAGTATCGCTGGTGTCTTCGGTCAGACACATACTATTTATTCATAGCTACCCGGGAAAGAACAGGTGTGTTACCAGCTGACCAAAAGGATAGAGGCTCGCACGACCGAAGAAACTAACAGACAACTGGTGGTGGTCATTAGAGTGATGAAAATTTGAAATTTTCGCTCCACAATACTTGAATGATTCCAAATCGGATCCTGACTAACCTCTCAAAATTTGACCCCATTTGGTGAGAAACTGAGATGGCACAAACCATTTGAAGTTTGTATGGGAATTACTATGGTGAAACCAAGATTTTTGTTCATTTCTATCTAATAATTCACAATATCGGTCTGCTTCAAAAACTTTCAATTGTACTTGTAGGAAATTTTCCCAGCTACAACTTTGCTCAAAACCACTTTTTGATTAAATGCAAGGATCAAAAGTTATCAATGGTTCAATGCGCTGATGTCTTATGATCATGCTCAATCAACGGCTCAGCAGGCAACATTGGTGTTTCTGGGGCGTTGAATAGGACTCAAAAATCATGGCTACTATGTCATACTGCAGAATACAGTGTTGCCTACAGAGCAGCTGCTTGATCATGTCATAAGTTTACCAATCTCTTAAATAATTAATAACTTTTCCTGTCTCTTTTTACATAGAAACGGTCTTCAGCAAAGTTGTAGCTGAGAAAATTTTCTATAACAATGGCTATCGAACTGTTTCGCAGCTCAATATGGAAAAATACTAGAAGGCAATGAACAAAAAGTTGAGATTTCCCATAGTAATTTACATGTAAACTTCAAATGGCTTGTGCGAAGTCTGTTTCTAACCAAATGAGTTGTAACTTTGGGAGGCTAATCAGGATCCGATTTGAAACCATTTAAGCTGTTTAAACTGTGGAGCGAAAAAATCAAATTTTGCATCAGTCTAGTGGTCATACAGCCTCTGGTGTAGTTACAGGCGTTACAGCAGGTGATGAAGGTGGTCCCGAAGCAGTGGTCATGAAGACGCTGATGCAGTGCAAGCTGGATCCGCAGCACACGGGAAAAAATGAGTTCCCATATTTGTGAACCACAGCCGTGAACCATAGTTCACGGTGTATATTTGAGAAAATTTTGTTCTGGATAGCTGGCCGTGATTTTTAGTTCACGGTTCGTTCCCGTTTTCGGGAACGGATTTTTTCCGAGCATACCTGTCGTCTTCGGCCAGACATATAGGGGGAGGAGGGGCATAGTGAGCATCCCGCAGTTTGGCTCTGGATCTCCAGCTGCATGAAACAAATCAACTGGTAGTAGGTTCAATATCATTATGATATTGTTCCTACTACCAACCAATTTGTTCCGAATGTCCGGAAGTCCAAGCTGATGCACGGGATGCTCACTATGCCCCACCTGTTCACTATGCCCCTCTTACCCCTACTATTCTTTGTTACCTGGCAGAAAACCGGTGTAATTAGATGACAATCCTTCGGAAAATGAACTCTAGAATAACGACGACAGGTGGCTTTGGATGCGGATACTGCACGAGGTCGTTGAAAATGGTGGATCATGACAGAACCAAACAGCAACCTAAGTGAGAATAATCTCTGTGAAGGGGGTGCGGAATTCTAGTTACTACTACTACTGCCTTATTCAACACTACTTTTATATAACAAAGGTCTATCCTTAAATATTTGCATATTCTGTTCAGTTTTCATTTGAGCAGGTAAAGCATTATACCGGGATCTTTCTTAGTATGCAAAGCACTTTTTGCTAGCCTCCGTCTGTGGGCGATTGATTGAAAGAACTGGATGACTCCTTAAAGGGTATCGATTTGGTACTCGTTGAAGATTTTGGTTGTGTACAGCAACAGGGTTGATAAGCATATTGTGCAAATAATATTGTGAGGATGGGCAGAATTACACGCTTATATAATGTCTTAAAACATCGATTTTGAATTTACTGTAGCGGCCGTAGTGCAGATTTAGCTGCAGATACCCAGATAGATACAAGGTACTGAAGCTTTGAGTGAACAAAGGCGTAGTACACAGTAGTGAGTTCCTCCACTGGCAGGTATCGCTGGATACTTTCCAAATTATGCCGCACCTAGCACTAAGCTCCAGTTGAAGAATAGAAATATGTTCGCTCCATTTCAACTTAGAATCAAAAGTAAACCCAAGATACTTGAAAGTATCTACTCTGTCAATCTTAACTGCGTCGACAACTGAGTTTGAATGACGAGTCTGAACTGAACGAGGCAAGTGAAACAGCATAAATTTGGTCTTGGACAGAATGATTAAGTCCTCCTTCATCTGATGGAAAATTAGGTTAGGATCGGAGCTTTGGTAGGAAAGTGCCATATCATCAGTGAATAACCGAGGCTTCCCATGAAGTTTCAGGATCGCTAAGTCTTTGATGTACAGAAGGAACAGCAATGGACCCACATTGCTTCCCTGGGGAACTCCCACAGTTACTATTAGTTCTGATTGCACCATTAACTGATACATACTGCATTGTTCCAGTTAAATAACTCCTAATCAGGTCGTTAGCAACACCTCTAATTAAAAGAATATTCAGGAGATATAATGCATAACGGTCGCTTGAACATTTTTAGATGATTTTGTTTCTAAAATGGAGTCTTTGACATCTTTCAATATATTGTAGCACGTACACATCACTTCTGATCGAAATGACACAATTATATTTTTTTCGCCTTGTTCATATGCATAATCTGCCTTATAGCTGGTCTCGATCGATTGTGTCGCATACTTTTGTTTAAATCGATATGGGGGAAATGCCCCTTATTTGGGCCCATACATAAATTCAGCATTCGACTAAATTTTCAATAGCGACCAAAAATATCCATTAGTACCGTTCCAATGACGCGTTCATCTAGATAAAATTGATACATAGCAGATTTTTAGCTATAGCCCCAATCTTAGATCCATACGCCAACATAAGAGCCATTTCCCCTATTATATGACAATTTTCGCATTTCTATAGAAAAACACACATTCATTGACGAACATCGTATAGAAAGTATCGTTTTCACAACACCTAGTTGAGTTTCGTATAGTATCAGATGCTAAATGATTCGGACAAGCCGTTATCAGTCTTGCGAGGGAGAGACCACTTGACTTCAAGTGCCCAAGCGGGCGGAAATGCATAACAGATGGAAGTGAATTTAAACTACTCATACCGGTTTTTCTGCTGCGCAACTTTTCGAGTGGCCCTGCGTAAACAGCGCACGTCGCAACACGTGACCATAATTCTAATGTGTTTTTGCTTTCCGTTTCAGAGGTCAACGGGCAAAGGCTGCTCGGAATGAACCACCTGGAGGTGGTTTCCATTCTGAAGGAGCTTCCGCAGGACGTGTGCATGGTGTGCGGTCGTGGCGATCAGGAGATGTTACAGTTCACCGAAGAGGCACTGATCAACACGCTGGAAGAGGAGGTCGCCAAAAGCCGCGCCATAGCCGGCGGACTCCAGAGTAGTCTGACTCCATCGGAGCGGTTGGTTAAGGCCAAGAGTGACGGAAGTCTCGCTACTACCGGTGGAAACAACGATGGTTTCTCGAAGATCAAATCCAGAAGCTTGGAACCGTTGACCGGCTTGGCCATGTGGAGTTCGGAGCCGCAGATTATCGAACTGGTTAAAGGTGAGCGTGGTCTTGGGTTTTCGATTTTGGACTATCAGGATCCGTTGGATCCGAATGATACGTTGATCGTGATCCGGTCGCTGGTTCCCGGTGGGGTTGCCCAGCTGGACGGACGGCTGATTCCGGGCGATAGGCTGTTGTTTGTGAACGATACTGTATTGGAGAACGCCTCGCTGGATCAAGCGGTCCAAGCGTTGAAGGGAGCCCCGAAGGGTGTGGTTCGGATTGGTGTTGCGAAACCGTTGCCGATGCAGGATTCGTCGATAACGGCTTTCGAGGGGGATAAGGGGGAGGCTGCGGGGGCTCTAAGCTATCACGGAAGCGATAGCATTCGCAACTCCAGCGGAAAGATGTTATCCATGAGCAAACCGGATATAATTATGGAATGAGAACGTTTAGTCATAAGCAGAGATGAATATGAACGCTGTTTGCATCTGTTGAAGCAATTATCGGATCTTTTAAATTTTATTGATTTTGTTAGCTCCATCGAGAGCGACAGGTATATGGTTTAAGTTTGCCTGCTTCGGAACTTGAGCTGAAACTTTCCAGCGAAATTTTACCTCTATCCAAAAAGGCAGCCTCTCAAAACGGGGGCTGCTTTCCACCATCACCGGCGTAAGTGGCGTGCTCACCCCAAATCCTTACCCGGTTTGCTTAATTATGTACTTAATCGTCCTGGGTTGATTTACTCCTCATTCCACGATCCATTCCACAAATCCATGAGAACACACCCAGACCAGATCTGTGACGTATAATTCTACTGTGTTTTATTTTCGAAGGCACCTATCGCTCTGCACTCTCCGGCAGCCAGACACACAGGTTCGTGTGGATTTTACGTTGTGCAAATTTCACAGGTATTTCCTACTCTCATCGAATCGTATCTACACCGAACTCATTCATCATGCATCACAAACACGCATTCTTAGTTCGATTCATTCAAGTAACAAAATGATCAATTTGATTTGGTTTGATTTCAATTTTCCAACTATCATTTGCGCTTTCGATAAAGCAAGCGAACGAGAAAGAGAGACCGAGAAAACAAAATCAGTGTATTCGTTTCTGACTTATGACGTTAATTGGAGAACACAATATGAAGAAAACAACCAACGCGAAAAGAAATACGGAATCTGAGAATCAAACAATCAAAGGAAATTTGTTGAAATTTGTCCCAATGCTGAGACCGGCTGATAGAAGGTCGGTAAAGCTGGAATTTTGTAGGAAGTGCTGCTGCCACATGCGGCAGTGGAATTCAGAGTGTTGATGTGTATTTTTTTATATTAGAAGAAGGAGGAGATTAGAACAGAATGCCTGTTGTCGTCGTCGTCCTAATAGCAAAAGGTGGATGGGTTTTCCTACGAAGATTGATTCATTAACTCAGGTGGATATTTTGGGATATACGTTTTGACTGATTGTTGGTCCTAGATTGGGCTTAGCTTCGAAAACTATAAGTTTTGCACAGTTACACTGAAATAAAACTGGGGGTTATTTTCCAACGATAATCCTGATATTTGAACAACTATACTGCCTATAATCGCATATCAATCCCACATGGATTTTCGTCAGTTTTGAACATCTATTTTATATCTAAATGTGGAAACAACATCAAGTCAGTTCAATCAAGTTTACGGAAATGCTGCTGAAAGTGAAACCACATGTCGCTTCAAAGACGGTGATTTCAATGTTGACGACCGTCCGCGTGAAGGAAGGCCAAAAACCATCGAAGATGTTGAATTCGAGGCATTGCTCGATGAGTATCCGTGTCAAACACAAGAAGAGCTTGCTTCAGCATTAGGAGTTACATGTCAAGCCGTTTGCAAGCGTTGGGAATGATTCAAAAGCAAGGCACTTGGGGTCCTTCTGGTCTGTGAACAACTGCTCCAGCGGCAATAAAGGAAGGGTTTGCTTAATCGCATCGTGAAAAAATCATGGGGACTGCCCGGTCATGCTTCTTCGTCGTAGTCTCGGCCATATTCACGCTGCAATGGTTATACCATAGAGGTAACTCTAAGACTAGTAGGTCCCGAAGAAACGAGCTCAACTTTTTGGCTTAGCTCTAGTACTATCTTCGGTCCCAAGCTAATCGATTCACCCCTCGAAACATAGAAAAATCCGCTAACCCCTCATTTTATCTGTCAAACTTTCATAGCGAATCAAAACAAACATTGTGAAGTACTAGAATTTTGACTAGAATGGGGTACGTTAATCGATTTGCTTGGGACCAATAGGCTAGTCAAGTAGTGAGCCAATTTAAAATCGTTAGCTTCCACCGGTTGGTTATACTGTGTATTTGGTGGAACCAGGCCGGCGTTATTTATTATGAGCTGTTGAAACCGAACGAATCCATAACGGGGAAACGGTATCGAACTCAATTGTTGCGATTGAGCCGAGCGCTAAGCAGAGGCACGAAAAAGTGATTCTACAGCATGACAACGCTCAGCCTCACGTTGCCAAACCTGTTAAAACAGGTTAAAACCTACTTGGAAACGCTCGAATGGGAAAACCGGCCGCCACCCGCCATATGCTCCAGATATTGCGCCGTCCAATTATTACTTGTTCCGTTCGATGGTTCATGGTCTGGTTGATCAGCAATTCCCCTCATATTAAGACATCACAAAATGGCTTGCCTCAAAAGACGAACACTTCTACCGTCACAGTATTCGAGCTCTGCCAGAAATGTGTAAATGTATAAGAAGTCGTTTTTTACGCAGTATTCAGTCACTTTTTTATCCCAAATAACGAGGTTGTTTTTCATAGAGCAAGTACCAAACAACGAGTTTTTTTTGGGACTCTGGAAAACTGGGAAATACTGTCAAATACCCCTCAATATGGGCAATAGACTGATGCAAAATTTGAAATTTTCGGTCCACAGTATTCAAACGGTTCCAATTTGGTTCCTGATTAGCCTTCCAAAATTTGAAGTCATTTCAAATATAATAGTCAAAATACCCTTATTGTAGGGTATTTGCCACTTTTTCTGAACCCAATAGCCGCCATATTGGATTTGACAATGGCGTTGGACATCAAATTTCGGTATCTAGTACACGTCGTCCTCGCTCTGAGAATACCCATATAGATGGGTATTTGCCACTTTTTCTAAACCAAATGTTCACCATATTGGCGTCGGATATCAATTTCCAGTCTCTAGACATCACCCCGATTCCAAAAATACGCATATTGATGAGTGTTTGACAGTATTTCTCATTTTTTATGAAAACGGAAGCCGCCATCTTGAATTTAAAAATGGTGTCGGATATCAATTTCCAGCCTCTAGACATCACGCCGATTCCAAAATTACAAATATTGATGAATATTTAAAATTATTTCCCACTTTTTATGAAAACGGAAGCCACCATCATGAATTTCAAAATGGCGTCGGATAGCAGTTACCAGCCTCTAGACATCGCCCCGATTCCAAAAATACCCATATTGATGAGTGTTTGACAGTATTTCTCACTTTTTATGAAAACGGAAGCTCAAAATGGTGTCGGATATCAATTTCCAGCCTCTAGACATCCCTAAGGGGCCTCCCTTAGCTCAGTCGGTAAAGGCGCAGCTACAAAGCAAAACCATGCTGGAGGTGGCTGGGTTCACTTCCTGGTCTGGAAAATATCTCAACTTCCCTGGGTATAGAAGTATGATTGGACTTGCCACACATTTTTACCCATCCAAAATGGTACAGGCATCGAAAGCTCTCAATTAATAACTGTGGAAGTGCATCTAGAACAGTAAGTTGAGAGCACGCAATAAGCTAGTATGCGATATGCAATAAGCTTGAAATGCGAAGAAGAAGAAGAAGAAGAAGACATCAGCCCGATTCCAAAAATACCCATATTGATGGGTATTTGACAGTATTTCTCACTTTTTATGAAAACGGAAGTTACCATCATTGATTTCAAAATGGCGTCGAATGTCAATTTCCGGCCTCTAGACATCACCCCGATTCCAAAAATACAAATATTGATGAGTATTTAAAAGTATTTCCCACTTTTTATGAAAACGGAAGCCATCATCATGAATTTCAAAATGGCGTCAGATAGCAGTTACCAGCCTCTAGACATCACCCCGATTCCAAAAATACCCGAGGAGCACGCTGAAGTTAAAATGCAATCAAAAGTACTTAAAGTAATTAATGCGTTTTGACGTAGTACTGACGGTAATTAAAATTATCTATCCGTAATTAATGTAATTAAAAGTATTGAAAATGTAATTAATATACTTAAATTACGAAATTTCAACTGCGGAGTTAAACAGTAGATAATGTTCTACATTGTGTAATTAATGTAATTAAAGCAGCAGTTAATGGAATTAATTTAATTACAACCGTTGCCTGCGTTGGAGTTGAAGGTTATTGCGTGCCCCTAGAAAATACCCTTTTCGATGGGTATTCGACAAAATTTCCCACTTTTCAAGAAACTGGAAGCCGCCATCTTGGATTTCAAAATGGTGTTGGATATAAATTTCCGGACTCTAGACATCACCCCGATACCAAAAATACCCATTTTGATGGGTATTTGTCAGAATTTCCCACTTTTCATGAAACCGTAAGCCGCCATCTTGGATTTAAAATGGCGTCGGATAACAATTACCAGCCTCTAGACATTACCCCGATTTAAGAAAAACTCATATTGATGAGTACATATTTGATATCAAACATCCCTATTCCAAATATAAACTGTTCGGACTACTCTTGATACTTTCCGGATAGACAAATAATGGATAATATCGAAGACAACAAATCAAGAAGACTGGCAACTTTGCCAGAATCCATGCGACAGATACAATGGCGCTGCGCTTGAGTGAAGATGGAAGCAACGCATAGAAAAATTAGCAAATATACAAACCCTTCTTTTGAGAATGTAATCTTTGCTATACAATTCGACGCGATTGTACCTGTCTCATAGCGTTCGTTTGAGAAAATGGAAGAGTTGCCAGTCTTCTTGATTTTTTATCTTCGATAATATTCAAGCTCAATTGTCCGGATAATTGTGTAGTTTGTAGTTTATGATCAGCCCTTGAAGTTATTCCGCAATCCATACCGCTAGTCTCCTAATGACAGATCTAAAATGATGACATTTGATCAAACTGCAATATGATTGTCAAGGGAAAAGGAGAGGTGCAATAGTTCAGTGCCAACATTTCAAAGGGGCGTAATTGCTTTTGTAAACAATGACTTCAGCCGTCAATTTCTCGCGAATGAAATCTTACCTCTCCAAAATATGCTAGCTGGTAGAGAAAACATTCCTCTACCTGCTGGTGTCCTTATTTTTCATGAGTGAGCTTTTATTCGCGAGAAATCGACGGCTAAAGCCATTGTTTACAAATGCAATTACGCCCCTTTGAAATGTTGGCACTGAATTATAGTTACGAGTCTGTTAAACGATTTTCCTAGTTTCGTAACTAGAACTATGAAATTGTATTTTTTATACCTCGAAAAACTAATGCTCTTGTTTCAGCGATAATTTCTCAGACATTACATTCAGGAAATGGATATCATATGCCATTTTGAAATCCAAAATGACGGATTTGTGGTTGCAATGACGGCAGTAAAAATATTCCCACTTAAGTGCAACAAACCTGAGTTATTGAATCAATCACTGTAGCATCACTGCGAAAAACAAGCTCACCATCCAACGGTGAACCGCCACCAGCAAACGTAGGAAACTCTCCGCCGCCAGTAGGGCACACCGATCGATAGTGAATGTGGTCGTTCCGGGTAAAATTCCTTCCGGAAAGAGAGTATACTAGAATTCTCGAAAGAATACAAACACAATTGTGGTAGACTTAGTAGAATAGCGTCGTCCGTAGATTTGAACTCGAATATTACGATAGGTCGTGAAGCGACAAAAAGCAATCATTCCATTTTCTGCAGAAAGTTAAAGAACTAGGGGTACATCCAACAGGCGATCCTGCTTGGGTTGCCAAGCTCATTTCGAAAGGAAAAGCGACACATTAGAACATTTTTTTTTCTCAAAATTCAATGATTTATCTTCGAACTGGAAGATTAGTTAGAATACAAAATCGATCAAAAAACAAGTAGATCATTCCCACTCATTGCTCATCGCTGCCAATCGATAGATTAGCTGCAGTTGTCGTCGTCGTCGTCGTCGTTGTAATATTTGAACAATCCTTAGAAAAGTTAAACAACACCATCATATTGATTGAAGAACAAATAAAAAAAAAATCTTAAAATTTGCCAAAACCCAGAGTGAAACCTAACTTCATCCCTGGCACACACACTCACACAAACACACAACTACAACTACTACTACGAGAGTAACACCAAACAGAGAAAAAAAAAACACAAAAAATTAACAACAAC